TCATTTACAGAAACAGGTCCTACCTGTGGATTCTTACACGAAACGCACTAAACGCTAGGCCTCAAGAAACCCCGTGTAAACAGATTCTAAAATGATTCTGTCTCCTCACACACCATAAGAAGTAACGTGTTCAAACAAACCCTGCAAAGCAAAGGTTTTTCAAGATATAAAAATACATAAGCCTTTCTTATCAGAGAGAAGGCGAAGGAATATTGTGGAATTTTCACAGTGTGTTTGCTTTAGCGCTTGTCATGGAGTTAGTTATCCTGTGCAAAGGTAAGCTTTGGAATGCCAAGTAATTACTTTCCCACCCACTTCGGTCACGAGGTCTACTTAAAGGGCAATTTCTTTTCTTTAGTTCTTTAAATGCTTCCAAAAAAGATATCTTAAGGTCAAGAAACTCCAACAATGTGCAAATATCTTTCAGGATCAGTCGATTTCCCCCTGGTACCATTAGGGGAGGTTTTAATGTCGTCAGTCGAAAGCAGGTTTCTGGAGGGTCATGTCCCTGTTTACCCTGGGACAGTATTGGTCATCGGAACCAGGAACAGAACCAGGCCGAAGCAGGTGAAGTGTACTCAACCAAGCAGTCTTCATTTGCCAGTTTGGATTCTAGAAGGTGTCAAAATGCTATTTCACACAAATATTGAAGCATACATGTGTGATACACGGGGAGAGAGAGAGAGAGAGAGAGAGAGAGAGAGAGAGAGAGAGAGAGAGAGAGAGAGAGAGAGAGAGAGAAGAGAGACAGAGAAGAGAGACAGAGAGAGAATAGAGGCCTCCTCTCAAGCGTTTGAAGCTTTGTATATTGACAAAGTTCTATTATAGGATTCAAATAGTCCGTGGTGTATGCTATGAGATTTAGCAGCTGAAGATTTTGTGTGTGTGTTTTCTGCAAATCAGTCATTTTGAGATGGAACTGTATGATATCTCTTTCCTTCAAATACCTTTTCACTAACTGAAATCTAGTAAACAAATTAATATTCCTGTCTTCAAACAAGTTAGGAAATCCCCCTGTAATATCTGGTCTCAAACAGGTACATTCACAAATAACTCAGTTGGTACCAGGTCCTGGGGGGTGGGGGTGGGGCAGCAAGAGAGAACAAAACAGACAGGTCCTCAAAATCGGACGGCAAAGGGGGCGCCTTTGTAGTGATGGAACAGTCCTAGATCCTTGTAGTGGTGGGATTAAAGGAGGAAACTACAACAAATCCACTTTTGCGTACCTTAATGGCTTTGCAGCATTCCAAGCCATTGGCATCGGGTGGTGCCTGGAATCTGCCTTCCCAGGACAAGGACCAGTGGCTGTGGATGAATGAGGCTCGGCCGATGGGACTGGCTGTCTTAGCTAACTGATGCAGTCTGTGGACAGCTAGCTTATAATTCACGGTGTACGGAAACAACTTGAGGACAAACTTGAAGCGTAGCAAAGGCGGCCTGAGGAAACACTGTGTTCAATTTCACAGTGGTTCCGTGAATCCGCACATGGGGCAAAAGTTCCTCAAACTACACTCCTGTATCTACACATGCACACATGTATGTAAACTGGTAAAAGTCCAACGAAGTTCTGTGATAGCTGATATGGTATCAATGTTAACTTCCTGGGTTTGGTGATATTTGATAATTACGTAAAAGTGTTATTCTTTGGGGAATACAAAGTTGAATACAAAGTATGCGGAACTGTTCCTACTGTTGTTTTTGGTTTGTTTGGTTGGTTGGTGGTTTTTTTTGTTTGTTTGTTTTTTTGGGGTTTTTTTTTGTTGTTGTTTTGTTTTTTGGTTTTTGGTTTTTCGAGACAGGGTTTCTCTGTGTAACTTTGCACCTTTCCTGGAACTCACTCTGTAGCCCAGGCTGGCCTCGAACTCACAGAGGTCCGCCTGGCTCTGCCTCCCGAGTGCTGGGATCAAAGGCGTGTGCACCACCGCCAGGGCCTTGCACTTACTAGGCAAGCACTCTACCACTGAGCTAAATCCTCAACCCCTCTGTTGTACTTCTTGTACTTCTTATGACTGGAAACTTTCTCCTTTTTTCAAAACGTGGTGTAACTATATAGCCCAGGCTAGCCTCCAACTCATGACCTACCAGCCTCAAATGCTTTAATTGTTGGGATTACAGGTGTACAATATCACCATTTGCTGTGAAATTGTTTCAAGATAAAATATTTAATTAATGGAATAGCAGCCTTCATTTTCATGGAGCTTGCACTGTACTCTGGTGGGAGAGATAAGTTAACTGATAAAAATCATCACAGACTGATTGATTTGTTTCAAGAACTCCTTTGTTGGTTTGCTTTCTTGATTGGTTGGTTAATTGTTTTTTCTTTTCTTTCTTTTTTTTTTTTTTTTTTTTTTTTTTTTTTTCCGAGACAGCGTTTCTCTGTGTAGCTTTGAGCCTTTCCTAGAACTCACTCTATAGACCAGGCTGGCCTCAAACCCAGAGATCCTCCTCCATCTGCCTCCCAAGTGCTGGGATCAAAAGTGTGTGCCACCACCTCCCAGCTAAGGACTATATGTGCCATATTAAACTTTCAAGTGTAAAACATTGGAGTAGTATATTAATAGCAAAGCAGAGGTTAGGATAAGAAACATCACAAGAGATAAAAAATGACACATTATGATCCTAAAGACCCAATTTTTTTCTTTTTTTGGGTTTTTTTTTTTTGTTGTTGTTGTTGTTGTTTTTGGTTTTTTTGAGACAGGGTTTCTTGAAAGCTTTGTGCCTTTCCTGGAACTCGCTTTGGAGACCAGGCTGGCCTCAAACTCACAGAGATCTGCCTGGCTCTGCCTCCCGAGTGCTGGGATTAAAGGCGTGTGCCACCACCACCCAGCTCAGACACATTTTAGAAATGGGTCAGTCGGGGGGCGGGGTGGTGCATGCCTTTGATCCCAGCACTCAGGAGGCAGAGGCAGGCGGATCTCTGTGAGTTTGAGGCCAGCCTGGGCTACGGAGTGAGTTACAGGAAAGGGGCTAAGCTACACAGAGAAACGCTGTCTCGAAAAAACAAAAATAAATAAATAAACAAACAAACGAATGAATGAATGAATGAATGAAATGAGTCTGTACCAACAACAGAGTTCAGGTTACATTAGCAAAAAACTGACAGAAATGGAAATGAGAAATTGCCAAGTCAACAGTTCGGGTTACAGACTCCCATGCCTCTCTTTCAGTAATCAGTAGAACAGAATCAGAACCCATTCCCCACTTAAATCAATAGATTAAACAAGTATTAGAAAACGTGATAAAACACCTCAGACAACTTAGCTCAAATATATTATGTTATATCATTGTGTTTACATATAATACTCTGAGCACACAGAATACTGCCTCTTCAAGTGCACACAAAACAGTCAACAAGTCAACACACACTCAGTAACAGAACAAATCTGAATGTTCTCCCCCCCCCCACCCACCCCGGAGCTGGGGACCAAACCCAGGGCCTTCTACCACTGAGTAGTTGGTTAATTTTTCTTCTGCTTTGTTTGTTTTGTTTTTGTGTTTGATTATTTGTTTTTGGTTTGGTTTTTTTTATTTGTTTGTTTCCTTTTTTGGGTTGTTTGTTTTCAAGACAGTTTCTCTGTATAACAGCTCTGGCTGTCTTGGAACTCACTTTGTAGACCAGGCTGGCCTCCAACTCACAGAGATCCACCTACCTCTTCCTCCCAAGTGCTGATTAAAGGCCTGCCTCAAAAAAAAAAATTAAATTAAATATCTGTATGATCTGGCCATGGTGGGCATAATGCAAAAGGATCATAAATGAGTATCCCCGACACTTACATACGTGTACTCATTGCTGCACTGTTCACAGTAGCCTACCTATAGATCAGTTGATGAACAGATAAAGAAAAAGTGGCCAGGCAGTGGTGGTGCAGGCCTTTAATCCCAGCACTCGGGAAGCAGAGCCAGGCGGATCTCTGTGAGTTGTGAGTTCGAGACCAGCCTGGGCTACAGAGTGAGTTCCAGGAAAGACACAAAGCTACACAGAGAAACCCTGTCTCAAAGAAAAAAAAAAAGAAAGAAAGAAAGAAAAAGTGGTCTGTATACAAGATATTTTTCAGCCATAAACAAGGACAGTTAAAGAAATTTCAAGAAAAATAGATGGAACTGTGGATCATCACAATAAGCAAAAGTGTCAGACTCAAAAAGAAAAATACCATGTTTTTTCCTCATAAGTGGACCTTAAGGAACTAATAAAAAGGAATATTTAGGAAGAGGAGAGAGGGACAAGAAAGGGTAATGGGTGAGGCTGGGGCTCTATCTCACCTGGAAGAGAGCTCATCCAGCACACTTTATAAAGCCTTGGGTTCTATCTCTAGCATGCGTAAAAAGCAGGCATGATGGTGCAGGAACTCAAGAAGTAGAAGCAAGAGAATCAGAAGTTCAAGGTCATACTCAGCTACATAGCAAGTTCAAAGCATGGTCTACATGCATATGAAAAAATTAAATAAAGCAAAGGAAAGAGTAGAGTGAATATCATCGAAGTATATGATCCACAAGTATGGAAATGGCATAGTCAAACTCATAGTTGAATGTTATTGATATATATTCACAAAAACGAATAGAAATGTTTTGTGTAATGTTCTTAAGATTTGTTTTTGCATCATCCAGGTGTGGTGGCACAGGCCTGCAATCCCAACTACTTGGAAGACTGAAGCAGAAAGATTGCAAGCCAAAGGCCTACATGGTAAATTAAGAGTACCAGGGATGCAACTTGGTGGAAGAGGTACTTGTTAGATATGTGCCAGGCCGTGAGTTCAATGCCCAGCACCAAAAGCAAATATGCATCTATATCATATATATATATGCATATATATCTGATAAATGATAAATATAAATGTATGGAACAAAAAAGACCAAAAATTAAAAGTTTTAACCTAAACCAGGAATTGATACCTTATAACTTAAGTATATAGATTATGAATTTAATTTTAATATGTTGAAATCAATTTTCATATATTTGAACTAAACTCTGTATAATCTTTCTCTGTATAAAGGTCACTCTCATACTTACCAGGCCAGGGAGATGCTATGAACACGAAGGTGTTTTCCCAGGGCGGAGCTTATTCATCGCACTCTGGATGTGCTGATCCCTGCAATTTCCCCGGATTCAGAAAACTCGATGGCATAATTAGTAGTAGCGGGAGACTGTGTTCACACTCTCAGGGGGGTAAAAAAGTCACTCTCAAAGAAGACAGGGTCCAGAGATGGCTCAGCAGGTAAAGGTCCTTGCTGTCAAACCTGACTGCTCCCCAACCCAAAAGAAGAGTAACTCCCACAAGCTTGTCCTCTGAGTCCCACATGTTCTCCATGGTGTGCACACCTCCACACATACACACTCACATATAAAATACTAATAAGTAAATGTAGCCGAAAACATATAAAAGAAAGGAAACCAATTTCCTATTGACAGCTTTGACACAGAGTTACCAAAAAATGTTTAGAGTAACAGTCCTTATGAGCCTTGGAGGGAAAATCATTAGTAGAACCATTCAGAGCAAAGAAAGAAACCAACTTTTCCCAATTTATCTAAGAGAGTGGCTTGTCTTTGAGGATATCTGTGGAAATACAAGTCAAATTTGGGGTGTTGTCAATAAAAATAAACCAGGAAAAAAAATCAACTTCCCACTACTAGGAGCTGTTAGTTTGCTCTATTGCTACTTACACTAAAACGTAAATTTCTGGCTGGGTGGTGGTGGTGAATACTTTTAATCCCGGTACCTGGGAGGCAGAGGCAGGCGGATCTCTGTGAGTTCGAGGCCAGCCTGGTCTACAGAGTGAGATCCAGGACAGGCTCCAAAGCTACACAAAGAAACCCTGTCTCAAAAAGCAAAACAAAACAACGACAAAAAAGTAAACTTCTGTCGCCTGTCTCCTCCCCAATAAACCACATGCTCCCACTACATTAGGGACCATTCATTTTAATAACCAGGACTTTAATTTTTTTCTTCAAACTTCTTGGGATGCTAATATATCATGTCACCCTTTCTGGGTGAACCCTGTAACATGTTTCATGGGCCTGAGATTAACCCTAAGATCTTTTTCCAGACATGCTCTTCACAAACACAAACACTAACCCAATTAATTGGCTTCATGCCTTAGCGTCCTAGATTCATCCAGTCCTATAAGGATCTCTGACCTGCTTTCAATTGTTTACACTGGCCCTCACCTGGCACTCACAGCCACAGGGCACGATTTCTGGCATTTTCCCACATGCCCCACCCACTTCAACTGCAAACCAAGTCTGTCAAGGAAGAGCATTACACCTCAGAGCTGGGAAGACTATTGGAAAATAATTCTGGGGCTGGAGAGATGGCTCAGCGGTTAAGAGCACTGCATGCTCTCCCAGAGGACCCGGGTTCAATTCCCAGCACCCACATGGCAGCTCACAACTGTCTGTAACTCCAGTTCCAAAGCACCCAACACCCTCACACAGACATACATACACTAATGCACATAAAATAAAAATAAATTCTTTAAAAAAAAAAAGTAATAATTCTGCCTTAGTTGGTGTTCAGACTTCAAAGGCTACTCAATAACCATCTAACATTTCCTGAACTTTGGGTTTAAGGTCCTCCACTGAAAATGAGGAGTTTTAACAAAAATAGATGAGATTCCTACAGTTATGAAGGGAGGGATTGGCCAAAGTGTGATGTGCATCACACAGAAACAGATAAGAACTGGAAAGAAGGGGTAGGACAGAAAAGACTCCTCACCGACTGTAGAGTCGATGTGAAATGTCAGTGACTAGATCAATCTGACTCCATGATTGCTCCAATGTCAAGGGCAAAAAGTACTGTACAAAGACTTGGAGAATGGAGCTGGGTGGTGGTGTCGAATACCTTTAATCCCAGCACTCAGGAGGCAGAAGCAAGCGGATCTCTTTGAGTTCGAGACCAGCCTGGTCTACAGAGTCTCCAGGACAGGCACCAAAACTACACAGAGAAACCTTGTCTTGAAAAATCTCTCCACTTGCACACGTGATATTCACCCCACACCCACACACCTACCCACCCACAATGACTCTCCCCCTCATACGCAGACAAAACAAATGCAATGCCTATTTTTTAATTTTAGTGATCTCTGGCAGTTTTTCTTGGCCCCCTTCTTTTCCTCAGTACTTCAGGGTCCTAAGCCTCTGGAAGGCCATCTTGCTTTCTTCTCCCCTGACTTCATGTTAGCTTGGAACAATCCTTTCACTCAAACCTGCATGTGCTGATGACTCTCGATTCTGCAAATCAAGTTCATGGAGTTCTGAGCTGTCCTCTTTCATCTAGTCATGTTGGACATCACCTCATAATCCCACGTGCATCTCAGACTCCTTACAGCCCAAACTCAATTGGCCAACATAATCAAAAGACCAGCACATCATCATGTATTCTCAATCCCAGGAAATGGCACAGTTGGTCAGATAGTATTCTTCAAGCCTTTTTTTTTTTTAAAGATTTATTTATTTTTATGTGTATGAGTGTTTTGCTTATGTATGAGTGTCTTGCCTGTGTGTCTATGTGCAACACATGTGTGCCTGGAGCCTAAGGAAGTCAGAAGAGGGTGTTGGATCTAGATTCAGAGTTACAGATGACTGTGACCATGTAGGTACTGGGGATTGAACCCAGGTCCTCTTCAAGAGCAACATGTACTCTTAACCGCTGAGCCAACTTTCCCGTCCCATTTTCCAAGTCTTTTTTTTTTTTCAAGACAAGGTTTCTCTGTGTAGTTTTGGTGCCTGTCCTGGAGACTCTGTAGACCAGGCTGGTCTCGAACTCAAAGAGATCCGCTTGCTTCTGCCTCCTGAGTGCTGGGATTAAAGGTATTCGACACCACCACCCAGCTCCATTCTCCAAGTCTTTGTACAGTACTTTTTGCCCTTGACATTGGAGCAATCATGGAGTCAGATTGATCTAGTCACTGACATTTCACATCGACTCTACAGTCGGTGAGGAGTCTTTTCTGTCCTACCCCTTCTTTCCAGTTGTAAGAACAGTTGTAAGAACAGTTAGTAAGAAGCCTGCCACGGCCATACAGTTTGTAACCAGTATAAGTCTCTGTGTTTACTTGGTTGGGTCTGAACGACTGTGGGGCTGGCAGGTGAGAGAGATTTATCCTGACTGTGGGCCAGGCAGGAAAATTCGAGCTACAAATGGTACCCAACGTGGGGCAAGAGTTTCCACCTAAAAACTGAGAAAAAAGATTCTAAAACAGAGCTAAAAACAGTTCCTAATTGTCTCTCTCAAATGAGGGGCAGCTGTTGGTTTGAGCTCCTTGTGGGTTTCTGGTGTGCACGCTCGACCTGCAGTTTGGCGGGAATGAGGCCTCTGCAAGTGGCACATTAAGCTGCATGGTGGATTTAGCCTTTGCTGGTACAAAACAAAAAAAGAGATTTCTGGACTACACGCTGCTTGGATAAAAGCATAGACCCACGATAGTTCCCAGAGCTGGTGGTAAACTACCACCACCATGTTGGTAAGCTGAGGTGGGTGGAGCCAGCAGCCACAGCTGCTGCAGTTTAAAGCAATAGATTCACAATAAGACAGATTCAGATGTAATAGTTTAAAATGTGTGTAAAATATATGTAGGCTTGAAAGAGACAAAAAAGGTGATATATACAGTTATAGAAACAAATACATAGTTTTAAAAAATAAAGTCTTTAAAGAGACAGTAAAATTAATATAAAAAAAAGCCACATAAAGATGAGTATTACATAGAGAATCTGGATTGTGTTGTCTTTGGGATTTTTAACTGCAGAAAAACATTTGATTGTAAAAGCTGTTGAGTTATGCCAAAATGTATATTTTAAAGGTAACTTGACTTCAAAATTTGGATATAAGGATATGTTGCTTTGGAAAAGAGTCTCTGCTTTTTTTCCCACAGAAAGCCAAAGGCTATGGATTTGTTCCAGATTAAGATACATCAGGTTTGACCAGCCAAGACCCCCTGAAAGGTCTCCGATGACACCATGGCCCAGATGATCCAACATCCAGAACGATTTGAAGGCAACTGGCTCAGACAATACACCCTCATGGACTATTCCATAATTCTAAAATTTTCTTTGTATCCCCATAAGATACAGCACCCCCCTCCAGCAGGAAGTAGTAAGAGAAGCTACGCCCCAATTCCCAAATTATATGTAATTTTACTTTGTTAAGGTTAAAACCTTCCTTTTTGAAAAAAAAAGGGGGGGGAGTACTGTGAGATGTTCTATATGGCAAATGTGTTGCTGATTAGTCAATAAATAAAACACTGATTGGCCATTGGCTAGGCAGGAAGTGTAGGCGGGACAAGGAGGAGAATAAAGCTGGGAAGTGGAAGGCTGAGTCAGAGAGACACTGCCAGCCGCCACGATGACAAACAGCATGTGAAGATGCCGGTAAGCCACGAGCCACGTGGCAAGGTATAGATTAATGGAAATGGATTAATTTAAGCTGTAAGAACAGTTAGCAAGAAACCTGACACGGCCATACAGTTTGTAACCAGTATAAGTCTCTGTGTTTACTTGGTTGGGTCTGAGTGGCTGTGGGACTGGCAGGTGAGAGAGATTCATCCTGACTGTGGGCCAGGCAGGAAAACTCCAGCTACAGACACAGGTAGTGGAAATGGCTGCCACGAGGGATGATGGTTTCTCCTACAGAGTGGGCATGCTTTGCCACTTTCTACGTGAGAATGAAGATGAAGCTGGAGCCCCCACCTAGATGTCCACCTGAAAACAGTGCAAAGCAGATGTGCAGGAGAAAGCGCAGCACTTGGAATCAGGCTTCCATCAGCCCTACCGCTGATACACCTTCTAAGATAGGAAGTCCTTTTCACAGAAACTCAAGAGGGAAGGTTCCTCAAATAACCAGTCATGACTCACTAACTCTGTCTGTCGGTCTCTCTTTCTCTCTGTGGGTGCGCACGTGTGTGTGTGTGTGTGTGTGTGTGTGTGTGTGTGTGTGTGTGTGTGTGTGTGTTGTCCTGAAACTTGCTATATACAGCAGTAGACTGCTTTCAAACTCACAGAGATCAGCTTGCTTCGTGCTTGGATTAAAAGAAAGGACCACCACACCTGGTAATTTTTTGAATACTATTTTTCTTTTAAAAGGTTATAATATAGTGACATCATTTCTCCCTTCCCTTCCCTCCTTCCCAACCCTCCCATGTATGTCCCACCTTGCTCGCTTTCAAATTCAT